TCGATTTATCCCACTGCAAATTGCTTAAAGTTCTTCCTCCACTTCCCGGGAGTTTGCAGGAACTAAATGCTGCAAATTGTACTTCTCTGGAAAGCATTTCTGATCTCTCAAATTTGCAGTATTTAATTGAGATCGAATTCACAAATTGTGAGAAACTAATGGACTTACCAGGCGTCGAAAAATTGATGTCCTTGAAAAGGTTGTACATGGGAGGTTGCAGTTATCGTGCCTCGGCAGTGATACGGAAACTTGACAAGGTATCTCTCTCTCTCTCTCTCTCTCTCTCTCACTCTCAATTTATGCATGTGTGAATCCTCTTGGATTGCGATCAGTCAAGTGGTGGATGGCTCATCTCGTGCTGTGAAGTGTTGGATTAAGTGGAGCTATGAGAACAATCTCGTGTTTAGTTGCCATAGTCGAGGTTGGATTTCAAGACTTTTAGTAGTAGGCCAGAGGAAGGTGAGGAAGACATCTAGTCATCATGCCCCTTGTGCTCCGTGCTATCCACGATCTAAAATAGCTTATGCTGTATGAATATGAATTGTTAAAAGTATGCATCCAGAGTCACCGATAATTTAATTTGGTACAATTTCTCCATGCAGGTTGCGTTGAGAAATTTATACAATTTATGCGTACCGGGAAGTGAAATACCGGACTGGTTTACTCGAGATGAGCTTCGCTTTTCTACAAAGAAAAATGAGGCAATAAGGAGTGTGATTATTGCTGTTGTCGTCTCTAAGAACTCTCAAATCAACCAGGATTCAACATTAGATGAGTTGCCTGTTATAGCTGAAATCGAAGCAAAGATTCTCAGAGTAAACAGAGCAGTTTACAGTCATGCAATGAACTTGAAAGGAATCCCAAATACAGAAGATGATCAGCTTTATTTGTGCAGATATCCAGATTATCATCCACTAGTTTCCATACTAGAAAATGACGACAAAATACAGGTCGTAAGGCGCAATCCTCCATTTGATCCACGAATTATGCTGAAGAAATGTGGGATTCATTTAGTTTAT